GAATGATATTGTACTTTTGTAAAAAAAAAACACCAAAGAACAACTCAAATAAAAGTGTCTTCTTTCATAAGCAAGTTATGTTTTCTAGGTTAACGATTTGGGGCTAACAAAAGGCTTCCCGAATTGTACTTTTCTTCTGCTATTCTCTACTGTCTTTAATAACCTACCAAGTTTTCCCCCTACCTCGGCTAGGATTGTGTGGTCGTAAAATTCAATTTGTAGCTCTCGAAGTCTAATCATCATTGCAGATTTCATTTATTACTCATGGCTCTAAATCTTGTTGGTTTTCCTCCACTGTCATTTCTATTTAAGATAGTTTAATATTGAAAATCAAAATTATGCAATAACTTGCGAATGTTTTGAAAACTAATTTTCATAAAATATGCTTACTACTTATATTATCTTATTTCACTGTGTAGAAAGAACAGGATAAAGCTATTAGCATTGAAGAGGAAATACCGGTTCATCTTCGTAATGCTCCCTCAACTAAGGCATCCGAGGTTGTTTTTCATATACCTCTTCCTCTCTTTTTTTTATCATAGCGAAATATGTTATGAAAGTATTTAATCTTTTGAAAGTATGCCATTTCAACCTTCCCATTAGTGAGGGATTTATCAGTAATCTTTAGACACACGATGATCAAAGTCGAAAGAACATGTTGTTAACTACTGGATCCATCAAGATTTACTCCCATTTCTACTTATCATTATGGTAAATTTGTAACCATATCTCAATTAAAAGAGTATTCTTCCATAAACAAGTTATGTTTTCTAGTTTAATGATTTGGGACTAGCAAAAGGCTTCCCGAATTATACTTTTCTTCTGCTATTCTCTACTGTCTATATTAACTTACCAAGATTTTGCCCTACCTCGACTAGGATTGTGTGGTCGTAAAATTTCTTTGGAAGTCTCATTGCCGATTTCATTTATTACTCATGGCTCTAAATCTTGTAGGTTTTCCTCTATTGTCATTTCTATTTAAGATGGTTTAATATTAAAAATCAATATTATACAATAAATTGCGAATGTATAATGTGAAAACTAATTTTCATAAAATATGCTTACAACTTATATTGTCTTATTTTGCTGTGCAGAAAGAACAGGATAAAGCTATTAATACTGAAAAGGAAATGCTGGTTCATGTTCGTAATGCTCCCTCAACCAAGGCATCCGAGGTTGTTTGTCATATATCTCTTCCTCTTATTTTATCATAGCGAAATATGTTATGAAAGTATTTAACTTATGAAAGTATGTTATTTTTGCACTGTGAACAAAGTCTAACGAACACGTTGTTAACTACTGGATCCATCAAGGTTTACTCCCATTTGTACTTATCCTTATGGTAAATTAGTAATCATATGTCAATTAATAACAAACATGTCTAACATCTCAATATCATATTTAGTTGAAGACTTGTCTCATATGCAAGTTCAAAACATTCGGTAACACATTGACTTTATTACTCATTGTACTACTGTCAAACTACCAGACTCGTCATTTGATCAATCTACAATCACATCATATTGATCTCCTGTCTTATTTCACTGTGCAGAATGAAAAAGGTAAATCTATTGCTACGGGCACTGCAGAGGAAAGACCGGTGCATAAACTGAAAAGGGTAACATATTGATCTCTTTTTTTAATTATTATTTTTTATCATAGAGAAATATGTTGTAAAAATATTTACTAGTTTTGTCTTTGTAATTTTTCAGCCGGGAAGTGTTGAGCATATGTGGGTAAAGAATTATTATTCGTTCCCTTCGACTGCTTATCGGAAGAATGAGAGATACTAATTCAAACATACAAGGAAGATCTATGGGGTCTATTAGTTTCTGTTCG